CAAAATTATGTTAATGTACTTGTTAAGTTGGTAGGGAGTTATTAGATTGTCATGTGAAAGAACTATCATTTTTCATGAACTTTATGAAACGGTGCACATATACATTAACGTTGGACTACAGTAACACAATGCACACCCTTTAATCCCCATTATCATATGTGGTTTTAATTTTATTAATCGGTGATCGATCATCAGGTCATGCAAATTATGCAAGTCAAAACTCAAATGAAAGCACATACCTTCGTCAGTCAGGAAAGGCCACTTACGTACATCATCGACCCAAGTATCCATTTTGTTTACAAGATGATAAGTTTGAAGAAATATAACTGTCAAAATTCCTAATTTTGTGTTGACTTCCATACTTAACAAGTATAAATGAATTCGAACCGGGGGGTATCACGGGCGGTATACACCGCAGTGACCTTTAGTAGGGCACCCTCAAGCGTTTGAGTAATCTTGCCGGATTTGTGTTTATAATCATGAATATTATTGGCTATGTTCAGGTTAAGTTGTTCTATGCATATACCGAGTTTCAAAATTTTTCGTCACTCGATGGACAAGATCTCCCCGTCCCAGTTGAAAGATGGTCAAAATAACCGGCCACTTTTTGGGTTAAAATGACGTCACATATCATCTTTGTAAATGAATTTTCTATAAACACAGCCAATTACTTACGTAGTTTCGTTTACGTTTCGACTAGTTTCACTAGTCATCCTCAGAACGAAGCACCACCAGTCGGTTGGTGGCGCTAGAGACAACAATCATGTGATGAATTGGGCAGATAGTGAAATCTTGCACAGTGAGGGCGACAAATTTAGACATGGATACGGGAAAGTCTATGGATAAGGAGATGACGAGCAATGAGGGAGGGTATGAACTGTCACAAATATGGGACCCCCTCATACCCCAAGTACCATCCCGGGGGAGGACAGCGGCAGCCAGACCACCATCTAGTTGCAGCAACAGGAAACAGCGCCACCAACTGACTGGTGGTGCTATGTTCTGAGGATGACTAGTGAAACTAGTCGAAACGTAAATGAAACTATGTAAGTAATTGGCTGTGTTTATAGAACATTCATTTACAAAGTTGAAATTTCACCAGCCTAATGAACTTCTTTCATGATATTCGTCACATTTCATGTGATGACATCGCTGTGAGGCCATGATTCATACACAGCACTCAGCACACTAGATCTCCCAACACTGGAATCTAGGAGAAGTGAGCTACTGATTAAGTTGGGTGACAAATTACTGGGGTCCACTAGATTCAGGGGCATGCTCCCACCTGACAGAGTCAGTGTTTGCAGTAGGAACTTGAGAAGTACCACCACTGCTGGTCTCCAAATACCAAAGTGCCGTACCACCAGGAACAGGAGATCCACAATTCCTGCACTTACGTTCATTTTAAAACAATTGCCATGAGAAGAAGCTTAAATGTCGAGGGGGTAGGAAGCACCAGATGAATACGGGGTTCAGTTTAACATCTCAGTATTTGGATTGGTTTATCATAATAGTTTTTATAAGCATTGAAATTAATTTATATTGTGATTTTTTATTGAAAGTTTGATTAAGTATTGGATGTGTTTTGTTTTCATTGCATACATGTATATATCTGCTTGTATCTATTTGTCAGGCGGGCTGTGTCCTTGTTTGTCTCGGTCAGTCGGTCTGCTTGTCTATCTCAGTCTATTTATTGGTCAGTTAGTCGGTTTGTTTGTTTCTGCCTGTTTGTTGGTTGTTTTCTGTTCATCGCTATTTATGTGTCTGTCTCATGGTCTGTTGTTTGTGTGTTTGTCCATTTTCAGTTTTTCGTCCAGATGCTGTTGTTTGTCCAGATGCCGTTGTTTGTTTTTAAATAATGGGTCAAAATGTTTTAGTTCATTCCAATGTTACTTTAAAAGTGTATTTGTTGTTTGTGTGTTAATGTATGGTCTAATTGTTTGAATTTATCCTTTCCACTCCATGTAATTGTGCAATGTCAGCCTTCTGGCTGCCTGTTTCAAATTTTTAATAAACCAGAATAATAATAATAATAATAATAATGTCAATCTTCATCTATAACACATCCCAGTCTAGGTACATACCAAATTTTAACCCAATGGGAGCTGTCCTTCTGTAGATATAAGCCTTCAAGATATGCACTTTAAATATGACGTCATGTCATGTGATGATGTAATCGGGACACCTTTAGGACATACCAAGTTACAACCCAGTCCGATCTATAGTTCTGCAGATATAGGCCTTCAAAATATGCATTTTAAAGTGACGTCACATGACACATGATGACGTCATCATGACATCACTTCAATTTTCATCTAATATCCTGTCTAGGTACATACCAACTTTGAACTCCATCGGAGCTGTCATTCTGTAGATATAGGCCATATAAAATGAACATTTAATGTGACGTCACATGACACATGATGAAGTCATTGTGACGTCGTTTCAATTTTCATCTATAACACATCCCGATCTGGGTACCAATGTTCAACCCAATCAGACCTGTAGTTCTGTAGATGTGGGCCTTCAAAATATGCACAGTTAATGTGACGTCACAGGACTCATGATGAAGTCAATATGCAGCACACATCTCTGAAGGTTTAAAGGGAATATACAACATTTGCAAACATCGAAAAATAAAACTACCAAGTTTTTGCGAAATACCTTAATAGGATGTTGGTAAATGACAGTCTAAAGCATCCTGTAAAATTATGGCACCTGGTATACTGTCATTTTCAAGAAAAGTGGTATTTTTGTATCAATTTCCAACGCTGATCGGCCGATCAGCGTTGGAAACAACTGGCTTTTTTCAAATACTGGCCCCAATTGACCATTGCACTTGTTTGCAATCGATTACAAACCTATGACCGGGTACGAGCCAGCTAGACTGGTTCCCTGACCTTACAATTCCCCAATGTATGTAAACTGCTCTGTTTCTTCTTATATGGAGTCAGGGAACCAGACTACAGGAAAATGATCGTTTTTCTTGGTTTTTATAGCATTTTCAAACCCAAAACCTCCAAAAAGTCAGTGTAACTATATTTGCTTTATATTTCCAACCCCCCAATTCCATCCATTTCTGAAAATTACAGCAAAAGCAAATGATGTATATTCCCTTTAAGTGTGTGCCAAGTATAAAGGCAATTGGATTGATTTTAGTGCCCAGAGTGCACCAATGTGTACTAATGCTATGGGCAGGAGTCTGAGAAAGAAAAAAAGGGAAAACTAGAGGTTTGCATTTGTTGAGTTACAAACACGGAGTGGTCAGGCAGGCAATTTTTTCAATAAACACTGCTGAGTTAAGTTATGAATATGTTTATGTGAGAACAAAGGATCACAAAATCAAATCCTTTCTAGTACAATCAATTATTTTGTTTAAAAAATGTATCTTTAACAGTGTGATAAATTTCAGAAAAAATTCTATGTACACATACATGCTATTTCTGGCTGGATGACATCAATAGTCAAAAACGGGAAGTGAATACTGATATAGTTTGGAGTGGATACATGTTCATTGTGAAGTTACATAACGTATGAAAATATGGAAAATGTAAGTGTATGTATTAATAACACCTAACTTCCGGTTTATATGACATCACAGTATTTGGGAGCAAAGGTCAACATTGCAATGGATATCATTATTTGGGCTACGAAGTATACAACAATGGATCAAATGAAAGAATTAAAATTTGAAATATGATCATTTTCAAATTCTCCTTGAAGTAACTTCCGGTCTGATGACATCATAAATTTGAAACCTTGCCAAGTTATTTGTGGTTAATCAGAGAAAAACAAGGGGCAATTTGGAAAATTTGAACAGTGGTTTTAAAATTAAGGAAAACAAACACTATTTTATGTACCGCTAGGGGGCGCCCTTTTGGATTATGACGTCATCACACTGTTTTTTGAGTCTGGTATTCCTCTCTAAACACTTTCATAATTAATATGCCGCGTTTCTCACGGCATAGTCTACAACCTCACGAAAAAAACCCAAACATGATACTCTATTTAATAGTTAAAAGATATAACGCAAACTAGTTTGTCACAACTTGCCCTTAAATCGCTTGTGATTTGATACCTGATGACATCATGATGACGTAACAAAATGTATAACATCTTCGTAACATGGTAGAAGTTCACACTAGGTTTAATGATCATACTGTAAACCGTTTGGAAGAAAGTTTGCTTTCAAATTAGGTTTTGCCCTTCACTGTATACTCAGTGTGTTACCTCCCGAGTGAAAGTTGGAAAAAACGGGATCAGTTGGCCGGTTTCGTTGGCCGAACCGGCCAACCGATCCCATTAGCTCGGTGGTCGAGTGGTACGACGTCTGCACTAGAAAGCAGGAGGTCGTGGGTTCGAGTCCCACCCGAGTGATTTTTTTCCCAACTTTCAAAATCCTCTTTGCCAAAGTGGAGGAATTTGGAGGATTGAAGTTACATGGCAAAAGTGCGTTACTGATTTCGTAGGATGCACTTGGGCCAGACCTTGTGTTGTTTTTGCTCAGCCATGCATCAATATAGGCCTGGATTATGCTTGAAATCCTCCGTACTGCTCCAGGATGTCACTGGCTCTGCCTCAACATATTGACAGTCACTGCCGCAGGATTTTACAGGATTCAGGCAGTGGTCAACCCTCCACAGACCATATTCAAGAAATAGTGGAGGAATTTGCAGGATTGAGGCTAAATGCCATTTTTACAAGGAGGCAGTTGGAGAATTTTGCAGGATTGAGGCTATATCCTAGCAAAAAGGCCAAGGGAGTTGGAGTTCAGCTGGCCCTGGACCTCATGTCGTAAAGGGATTCCTCTGCGCTTGCATTAGTTCTCAGAGCAAATGCCTCAACACAGATCCCCCTTTTCTAAAAAAAAAACCTGGATCCACACCTGGTGTTAAGTATGAAACAGGCTTTTATTCCAAAACAGAAGATTGGTGAATCAAAGTGTAAAGATCTACATACATTTACGAGTTAATGCTAGCAATCAAAAGAAATGATTTTACCAGTGCGATAGAAGGATCCAGATTATGGGTATTCATACGGCATGCATGATCGCAATGGTAGCTTTCATCTTGCAGGAATCCCCATTTGTCGGTAGTAAGTGCTGGCTGGGTGGTGTGAGGGTCCAGATAAATAAGTTCATCTCCTGTGACAATCATAAAAAAAAACTCTTCCTAGTCAAGGTGTTAAATGTAATGCTTTATCTGCTTCACATACTTTTGTAGCCAGGTAATTTGGATATGGCCTTAGTACATGTCATGCAGACCCACCAAGTCTCACGTATTTGGCGTGTGTCACACGCCTCTGAGTCAATTCACACACATGCACGTAGGACAACCGTAACTCACATGCCTAATGCTAAATTGTTCTAAAAAAAACCCTTTTTTTAAGGTTGTTTTTAGGAAAAGAATACGGAAACAAGTTTCGTGTTTAGGGCTAAGCATTTTTGTGATCTCAGTTCTACATGAAGATCATAATTATTATTTATATCGCCACGCAGCATGGCAGAGACACCTCTTCATAAGGGCCCACCAATGGCCTTGTTATGGGACTATATTGCAGTATACATACAGGTGTACCAGTACAGGTGCATCGAGTGTATGCCAGCAACATGTTTTGCAATAATTCCTGCTTGATATTTTCTAATGTGACGCATCCCCTAACATGGCGTACCTTGATTTTTCACCTGTATTAACATTGCTATTATATTCACCTCAAATTTCACAGGATCTAGCGTAATTTCATCAAGCTTTAAGCAGTCGCTTTCATAAATCTTGAGTTTAGGTATATGTACCCATTATAAAGTTAACGTAATAAAGTTTATCATGCCATTTTTTAAAAATTAGAAAAGTAAGTTGCTGACAAAGTGAACTGATTTGCTGATTAATTATGCAAGACAACCATCTCTTGACCTCTAGATTTCGACCATTCACCGGGCACTTTCTATATCAGGTCTTGTCATGAACATCTATAAATAATACCTATACATGCTGTGAACTGAGCAAAAAAGTCTGCAGTCACACGTTCTGTAAAGATATGTTACGCAATATGCCCGCAATATTAGAGCCGACCAATCACGCTCATGGCTAGGTTTTGTAGATTAGTATTTCAAAAACACTGCATATGAATCGACTAATCACAGTTTTAGTCCTGATTTTGGAATAAAATGAACTGTCACAAACTAGTAACGTCGATACTGGTTGGCTGGCACACGGCATGACATAAAATTGCATTCCTAGATATATCAGACATTCAACCGGAAATAGGGCTCCATAGACATGGCTTGAAATTCAGACTAAAACATTTCAAGCCATGTCTATTCAATATACTGTGGCATACATGTTGTGTGTGTGTCACATAATACACATACCGGTACAGCACCAATCCACAAGTGTTGGTTCTTGAATCTCCGCAGAATGTGATGCACAAAAAGGACCAGTTTTAGGATAGTTGTGTGGACGTTAACATCCTACTTTTAATGCTCATTTTCAATTATCCTTTCATTTAAAACACAATTTGTAGCCCATTTAGGCATTTTCCAGGACAAAATATCCCTTTAAAGGGTCATTTTTCTATGGTGTTTATCTAGAAACTACACAAGTACATGCAAGTCCAATTTCACTGTAACTTGGTATACATGTATCTAAACCGGGATGTGTTATAGATGGAATTTGAAGTGACGTCATCATGACGTCACAGGGTCATTTCAAACAGCCGAAACAGCTGGTGTTTGTCCAAACATACCTCTTCTTCGAGTGTTTCATTTCTAGTTCTATTAAACTTGAAGTCAATTTTCTTGTTTCTAGTCGATTCAGATCTACATGTGATCTGCTTTTCTTTGTCATGATTTTCTTCCTCTCTTTGCTGATGTTGAATTTGGCTTTGCACCTGCTCCATCGTGTTCACTATCTGTATTAAATCTGTTACTGACACTCACTATGTAGTCTATTTCATCGGTGCACAACCCATTTAGATTTTTCATGTCCATTTGCGACTGTCTTTCTTCTTGAAAAAAGTGTGTGCTTTAATTATTTATTATTTTGGCAAATACAAACATACAGTGGTACATAAAATATGAACGTGTTACATGTAAATACAAAGCCAAGAATAACTGTTTATAAGACGGATTATTGCCACTGGGGTCCATAGAAAACAAACAAACATACAAGTACATTATAAAAAGTTCAAAAAAATTACATAGCAAATTGCAAAGAATGATCATTAAAAAATGATCATTAAAAACATGGCTGTTTAAAAAAATGACTGAGAAGAGAGATGCTCTTTCACTGCCATTTTAAATTGAGGATGATTGTTGGAATATTTGATGCTGTTGGGAAGTAAATTCCATTCATGAATTCCGGTATAAAAATATGTATTGCATTCTGGCCCTTTTATTCTTGGAAAAACAAAATTGGTTGAACTGCCCCTGGTAGAATAATTATGTATATGAAACCTTCCTTAATTAATTACAGGGGAAGTCTGGTGCCATTTCATGAAAAATTGTATAAACACGATTCAGCTTGAGTTGTGTAACACGGTCATTGACACTTGCCCATGCCCAGCTTGTTCAGTTCAGTTTGACCAATAATGTGATCTGGAATCCATGTTTAATAAATACCAGACTAATACATTTTGGGTAATTTGGAGCCTTTTCTTCAATTTTACCAACAAGTCAGAGTACAGGGCCGGATGAACAACAATAGTCAAAATGACATTGTATTAGAGAAGAACAAAGTGTTTTGCGGGATCTCTCATTCAAACAGTTAGCATGTCTGTAAAGAAATTGCAATCTAGTACCGGGACAACTCGACCGTTGATCTCGACCGGTCGGACGACTTAATCATTTGTACGTCAAATCATGGAGCTGGGAACACACACCTGGAATGGCAATCTTTTTTATGGGCAAGGCATTGGGGCCTTTTTGGTTTGGAAACATTTATTTCAATGATGTCATTCATTACAATTATGTACAATCATGTATAAATTAAGAAAGGTCAGTAGTAATATATATGACAGTTATGTACACAGTGATTACTAATAAAGTGTAAGATTAAATGACAACAGTTAGGTATAAGGTTAAGCAGACGCTTTTGTGCCCTTACCTATGGACAAACAAGAACCAAAGTACTGTAATAAGGGACAAACAAAACACAACGGTAGACAGACAGGACAAGTGTGTGAGACAAGGCCTAAATATTAATGCACATATAACATTTCAATTTATGAATATGATTCGATAAAATGAGTTTTTAAATTTTTGACAAAGACAGATAGTGAGGGTAACAGTTTAAGAGAGCCATCTAAACTATTCCAGTACAAGGTGCCTTGATGAATCACACTGTTTTTTGACATTGACGTTCTGTTAAATTGGACAAACAATTTTCCCTTAGCACTACTTCGAGTGTTATATACATGAACGTTAGATGCTAAGGTAAAACAAGAATCAAAACAGGACGGGAGTAGATTATGCTTAAATTTAAACATTAATTTTCCTAAATTAAGGTAATATAAGTCATTACATTTTAATACATTTAATTTAGCAAATAATGGAGCAGAATGATCACGTGGCCAGCATTTGAAGTTACACGAACTGCTCGCTTCTGTAAAGTAAGTAATTTGTTACACTTAGATGGCAAACTGCCCCAGGTCAAGATTGAGTAATTTAAGTATGGTAAAACAAATGAATTATACAATGTTAATAAAATCTTACTCAATTTCAAACGATTCATTATTCCAACGTTCTTTGATATTTTTGTCGCTACTTCATCAATATGATGTTTCCAAGTGAGATTTTCATCAATAGTTACACCCAGGAATTTAGTTATCTTAACCTGATTAAGCCTTGAGTTATTCAAATTCAGAGGAACAGATTGTGTGTACTTGTACTGATTGGCACAAAAAATCATATAATTTGACTTGACGACATTAATAGATAATTTATTTGCGAGAAGCCATGTACTGATCTTTTCAAGTTCCATATTTAGGTTACTAATTGCTTCATCTACATTATCGTGAGTGTACAACAAACTTGTATCATCTGCAAATAAACAAAATTTTACAGTGTCTGAAGTATTACATATATCATTAATATAAAGAAGAAATAGTAGAGGACCCAATACGGAACCCTGAGGTACCCCACACGTAATGAATCGGCTAGTTGAAGTTACAGATTGAAACGATACATAATGGTTTCTGTTACACAGATAACTTTTCAGAAGGTCCAAAGCTGTTCCCCGCACTCCATAATGATCTAATTTACTTATAAGAATATCGTGATTTACAGTATCAAATGCTTTTGATAAGTCTAAGAAAATGCCTATGGAGAAGATAGTTTGATCAATTGCATTACATAATTTATTAACTACATAAGATATCGCTATTTCAGTTGAACGATTTTGTCTAAATCCAAATTGAGACTCAGAAAGAATATTATTTTTAGTGATAAAAGATCTACACTAATCGTTTATAAATAAGCTTTTCAAATAGTTTTGAAAATGTACATAGGACTGATATGGGTCTATAGTTGGTAATGTTATGTTTACAACCTTTTTTATATATCGGTGTTACTTGGGCTATTTTTAGATCATCGGGAAAAACTCCAGCTGCCAAACGCTTGTTAAAGATGTCAGACAAAGGCTTAGATAAAGAATACTGTGCTTGTTTGATGACAGAAGAACTTAAACCATCAAATCCAGGGGCCTTCCCAGAAGGTATTTTGTTAAGATAATCAACAACCTCTTCCTTGGTAATAGGTGTAAGAAACAGTGAATTTGGACATTTGTTGCTTAGAAATGAATCAAAGGAAGTGTTACATAACGGGAGCTCACTGGAGAGGCCACTGCCGATGTTAACAAAGTAGTCATTAAATGCTTCTGCAATTTCCTTGTCATTGTTAATTTCGTTACCATCCTGAAAGAAGTAAGATGTGTTTACATTTTGCTTGCGCTTGTTAAGTAAGGAATTAATAACTTTCCAAGTACCCTTAATATTACCTTGCACTTCGCTAAATTTTGTGATTAAATATTCTTCTTTGGCTAATTTGATTAAAGAATTCATTTTTGTTTTTATACAGAGTATAAACAGATTTATTAGTCGCAGTCGGGTTCCTTGTAAATTTTCGGTACAAATGATTTTTTCGTCTGATAG